CGTACTACCAGACCTTGGAAGATGCAGATCCCTCTGAGCAGGCTGAAGAATATGACTCAGCCTACGCATCGTACATCGATGCCCGCAGACGCTTCAACGAGATCAAGCTCAGCAGAGGATACTTGCCGATTGTGGCATTGACTGATGGAGGCAACCCGGCCTCACCATCTTCCTCCTTGTCACCGGTCTCTCCGGGACGCGGCAAGGGCAAGACCAAAGCAAAGAAAGGAAAGGGCAAAGGAAGCTCCACCCTGGTGAAGTACCCTGCCAGGGGCAACGGGAAAGAACCCGATCCAAAAGGGAGAGCGAAAGCCAGTGGAAACACGCCCACCTGCCTCAGATGTGGCCAAGTGGGACATATGACCTACAACTGCCCTGTGCCCAAAGCTGGTGGTGGTGCATCCAAGCGCAAGACGGCACCTACAGAAAGCACCGTTGGTGACGTGGAGCACGGCCATGTGATCTTCACGGACGACCATGGGTGCGAGCGCCATGACTGCGCAATGTTGGACCCTGGCGCAAGTGCCTTCTTGTCAGGGTACGGTCCCTTCTACCGCTACTTGCTGAAGCTCAAGGAGACCGACTACGACATCACCAAGATCAAGTTCATGCGGTGCAAGCGCACCTTCTACTTTGGTGGTGACGCCAGCTTGGAGTGCACCTGGACTGTTCGCCTTCCCCTATGCATCGGTGGCAAGTACGGCTATGTGCAGATGTACCTGCTGCCTGGTGAAACACCTATGCTGCTTGGAAGACCGATCATGGAATCCCTTGGATTGGTCCTTGACTGCCGCAGCCGCATGATCAAGCTTGACGACATGCCCTGGCAACATGCTGTGGTGGGTGCCCATGGAGAGTACCTCATCTCCTTGCTGAACGAGTTTGACTCCAGCATGTGGCAATTTCCACCTGCCTTTGAACTTGTAGTGCCCGCTGATGGAGGAGTTGCCGGAGAGCTCATGGACTTTCAGACCTTCAACACCGAGGTCAAGCTCTTCAACTCCCAAGATGTTGTTCAAGCTGCAGCTCAAGATGATATGCGTCCGACGCGACGCCACTTGCTCCAGACATGCGACACAAGACTCCACGCTCTCGAGAATGAGCTCCACGCCTACATCACAGAGGAGCTGCATCAGCCTGAGCGCAAACGAGTGCTCTGGGAAGTCTACTGCGGTGGAGCACGCGTCTCAGCTCTTGCAGAAGCGATGGGCATGGACGTGGAGATCTTCAGCTATGAGACTGGCTGGGACTTCGACTTGCAGGAGCACCAGGACATCTTCATGCAGAGGCTTCGAACGGAGATGCCCGACGAGGTCTATCTGGCACCTTCCTGTCACCTGTGGAGCCAGATGCAGAACCTTGCTGCCCGAACCGAAGCCCAGCAGCACCAGCTCTACCTCAAGCGGAAGGAGCACCATGCATGCCACTTGATGTTTGTGGCCCGGGTCTGCAAGGAGCAAGTTGACAACGCGCGGCACGCGCACATCGAGCAGCCTGAACGAGCCTTGAGCTGGCACACAACAGCCTTGAAGGACTTGCCTGGCTACTGGATCCTCCTGCACCAGTGCATGTTCGGCTGCGCCTGTCTTGACCAAGATGGACTTTGGAAACTTGTGAAGAAGCCGACAGGAATCCTTTCAAGCAAGGTCTCCATGCAGGCCACATTGGCAAAACAATGCAATGGGCAACACTTGCACTGCCCTGTGGAGGGATCGGCACCTGGACTTGGCCGACGCACCTCCTACTTAGAGGATTACCAACCTGGCCTTGCAGCCACAATTGCAGCTGCCATCAACGCCCCAGACCCAGCTCAGCTTTGGGACTATGGACTTGCAGTCGCTGAGCAGAAAGAGGTCACTGGGTGCCTTGTGAAGCTCCAGACGGCCTTGAAGACCGAAGCAGTTCGCACCGTGCAGCGCCTGCACAGGAACCTTGGGCATCCAAAACCTGAGGCATTGGTCGAACTTCTTCAAAGCCGAGGAGCCAGTGACCAAGTCATTGAGGCAGCTCGCCACTTCCAATGCACTGCATGCCTGCGCTACAAGCGACCCAACCAGGTGGCGCCTTCGACACTGCGAAACCAAGCCCATGAGGTTGGAGAACGTTTGCAGGCCGATGTGCTGTGGATCAAATGCAATGCCAGTGCCAAGAAGTTCCCCGTCCTCAGCATCATCGACCAGGCCACGAAATACACCGTGGCGACGTTGCTTCATGGAGAACGTGGTGAACATCTAATCCATGGACTTGAACGAGCCTGGATCAGGCACTTTGGACTTCCTCAATGCCTGTGCTCAGATGAAGGACGTGGTTGGGTTGGTGAAGAGATGAATGCATGGACCACCCAACACTCTGTGGAGCACATTGTTGCCCCTGCTGAGTCCCATCGCTTGGCACTTGTGGAGCGCCGGCACACCACCTTGCGCCGAGCCATTGAGATCTACATGGATGACATGAAGGTCTCTGGAAGCAAAGGCATTCGGCAGGCGCTGACCTACGTGGTGCCCCAGCTCAACGACACCTTGAGCGTTGCTGGCTTCACGCCTTCACAGTGGCTGCTTGGAAAGATCCCACGTTTGCCTGGTGGACTTTCACATGATGGACTCAGTCCTGCACAGCTTGGAGACCATGACCAATTCGAACAACTTCTACGTCAACGAGCTGCAGCAAAGAAAGCACTGATCTCTGCTGATCTTGACGCCAAGCTCAGACGGGCCCTGCTGTGCCAATATCAGGGAGCCGACTTGCCCCTGCAGATTGGCCAGAAGTGTTTCTTCTGGAGAGACCAACGCCAGGACAAGCTGGTCAAGATCCGTTGGCATGGCCCTGCACGGATTGTGATGGTCGAGTACTCCAAAGATGACAAGCCCGAGCTCTACTGGCTCTCCTACAAGACCCAGCTGATCAGATGCTCACCGCACCACGTGCGCGCTGACTTCACTGCAGCCGACACCCAACTGGCTGATGCTCAGGAAGCTCGACGAGAGGTGGCAACTCTTCGCTCTCGAGGCATGACACGCTTCTTGGACCTCGACAAGGTCAACAAGCGGCACCACCCTGATGAACTCAACGATGATGAAATGGCTTCTGGTTCCGAGCCAGATGATGATGCGGGGGGTGGAGATGATCTACAACCTCCTTCACGACGACAGCGAACCACCTATGACATGATCCCGCAGGATGAACCCTCCTTTGAGGAAGCTATGGATCAGATGCAGCAACAGCTGGACCGAGAACGACAGCAGAACCAGGATGACGAGCTCTACGAGCCCAGCTTGGCACCAACGTCCCCAGCGGACACTCCTGCGGAGCACCCTGAGTTCCCTGGCCAAGCACAACCTCCTGTTCTACCTGCACCACTACTGGCTCCTGATCCAGTTCCACAACCATCTGCGCTGATCAACATCGACGAGCCTGAGCCCAACCGAGAACCATCGACGATGGCAACAGCCCCAAACACACCGATGGATACTGCAGATCCTCCTCCACTACAACCTCCTGCTGTGACTTCCACTGACATGAATCTCTACGAGCCTGCTACAGCTCCTGACTTCCTGCAGCGTCGACGACAAATGGATCGACAAGAAACCATGCAGTTTGGCCCCTTTGGACCTATGCGACGTCGAGCTGCTCAACGACATGCTCCATATGATCAGGATCCACCCGAAGGTGAACCACCTCCAGGTCGACGTGACCCTGCCTCTGAGCTCTTCGGCCAAGCCTTTACGGTCTCTGACATTGGTGGTGATCACTTGCCAACTGGTTGGAGTGTCGATGAAGAGGGCTATACTTCCAGCTTGACACCAAGAACTACCATGACTACTGGGAGATCCGCGCTGGATGCCTCATCCGACATCATCTTCAACCTCGGCATCGACCTCACGACATCACCAAGACCAAGGATTGCCCTCTGGAGCTGAAGCAGCTGGACCCTGTGCGGGTTACTCTGATGCGACTTCCCAATGGCATCAGACAGATCACCACTGACCGCTATGACACCGTGGTTCCTGCTTCCAAGTCCGCATGGACTGGCATGACGATCTACCAGATCAATGGAGCAACCAGGAAGGAGCTTGCCATGTTTTCTACAGCCCCTGCAAAGAAAGTGGCACGACAGGCCAAGCATGCAATCATCAAGAAGAAGCCCACTTCAGAGCTCAATGAGCGAGGCCTGACTATGATGGAACGCGAGCAGTTCATGCAGGCCAAGATCAAGGAACTCAAGAGCTTCTTTGAAAACGGAGTCTGGGAGTTTGCCCATGTCAAAGACACGGACCCACAACGAACTCTTACCTCAAGAATGCTGCTCAAATGGAGCAAGAATAAGGCTTGGCCAAGTTAATCAGGGCTTCGGGGCACAACCGGGGCTACGAGTGCGGGCCAGGTACTGCAACCACAACCACCACCACCACCACAACAACAACAACGACGACAACAATCTCCCTTTGGGAAGACAGCATGATCTCCACTGCAGCAGTTGCACTCCTCTTCTTGTCTGATTGTTTGCACTGAGTCTCTGTTAGATCTTGATCACTCTTCACTGAAAACGGAAACTTCCGCCACGCAATCGCGCGATAAATACATATTTATTATTGTTTATTATTATTATTCTATTTATATTTATTTATTTATTGTTTCAAGGCTTTCAGCATGTGGGACTAAAAACGACTACTGTGTACCGTGAGGGTTTAGGATTACTTAGGATTGAAAGAACAATGATTTTTTCAGGATAATCCTATAGTGGCAAAGGTGTGGTTAATTATTGCAAAAATGGATGCGAAACCCACAGACTGACTGACACTAGAAACATATCAGCCCTTCCAAAAAAAAGTGCTGCCCTCAACCCGGAGTCATCAATGGTTTGAAAGATTTCAGTATGGAATTTGCTGCGTCAACCTCACTGAAGGAAGTTGCACTCGGTTTGGCTGCCTTTTTCTTGCCGACACAGCCACGCACCATCTACTAAGCTAAGACTACGCACCATCGGCTACGAACTGAGTAAGTCAGTCGACATCCTGTCCAGCTCCCACTGGGACCTCATCGTCATGCTCACCTTTCTCTTCTTCGCCTTCTTCATGATGGGCGTCTGTTTCCAATGCGATCTCAGCAGCGGCAGCCATTGGCTCTGAAGGTGCTGCAGCATCCTGCTTGGAGTTGTTGGCCACAGCTTCCAGCTGCAACGTTTCCTGACTGACCGTGTAAAGTTCGGGGATGTCTTTGAAACCAAAAAATTACACTTTCTTTGAAAGTTAGGCAAGTCAAGATGAAAGTGGCCCTTATTGAGCCCGAGAAACGACCAAAGTCTCTACCTCGGCCTTGGTCTTTCTCTCTTCGAACGCAACACGAGCAGCTTCCTGAGAGCAAAGGGTAAGTTGATGGAAGGATGGATGGTGGATTTAAGTAATACCTAAATAGGAAGGCTATAGCCGAGTTTCAGCGATATCCCGGTGTTGTTCATCTGTCAGACCCAAGCGAAAAGACACCTGCAGGGCATAGGCAATAAGATATTGTATCAGAGCGATAAATCTGTGGAAATGCTACAAAAAAAATACGAAATTTGGGCATAGCCCCGAACCTGCATGACTTGGTTCTTGCCTTTGATTTTGATGCCCCATGCTTTCGACTCTTTGTACAGTGACTTGTAAGCGCGCACGGGTCCATCACTAACCTCATACTCAGCCTTCGCTTGTTTCCCACTTTTCTTTGCTGCGGTCTTGGGTTTAGGCTCCGCCTTGGCACTGGCTTTCGCACTTGCTGGGCGTTTCAAAGCAGCTCCACTTTTAGGCTTGGCACTTGCTGGTCGTTTCTTGCATGTGGTTGAGGAAGGTGCCACCGACTCATCTCCTTCAGGTTCTTTTTTCAGGCGGGTCTGGGACGGCTTAGGTTTTTTGGGCGCAGGTGGAGCTACTTCCTCCTCCTCAGGGCAGGTTTCTGGGCTCTTCCGAAGTTTGGCTGGAGGCGTAGCGAAGGTTTCATCATCACTCAGCTGGTTAAAAGGGGACAGGGGCATGATGGCACAATTGGACAGCTCGCGTGGCTACGAACAAGGATGATGATGGAAGATATTAGACAAATCTTTTCAAATAAGAATCGCAAATTCTCCTTCAAGCATACAATCATTGTGATTTTCCGCATAGCGCCCTCATAGTTCCGCAGAGTTGCTGATGGCAACCTGCTTCGGCCCATCGTTTCTCATGACCCTTATTGCTTTTCATTTCAAAGCAGAAAGCAAACAAATTGCTGTAAGCTTCTATCAATTGCAATGGATTCAATGGTGGAACCAGGGTGCACGATGGTTCAAGTCGCAAACCACGCTGCAAGACAACATGCGGACAAAAGCCGCACGAGCACACTCTGAGCTGAAATTCCAAAACTAAATTGCCATCGGGGCATTGCACGCTCTCAGACTTTGATCTGATGAGCATGCTTAGCCTTCAACTGAAAATGGCACAAGCTCCAGCACTTCGGCTTGCGAGGACGGATTTGAACTGGGACGGATCGCTCGACCGAGACCTAAGGTGAAAAAACTGAAAGCCTCTAGCTGCTACAAAAGACAAATTTTAAATTCGGTGTCCCTGCTCTTGCTGAACAAGAAATTGAGAAACATGCTTTCAAGGGACTTCCCAAAGCACACGGATGTTGGTTGTTCGGGGAACCTTGTTCAAATTCCCGACAAAGAGAGCTCCAAACATTGTGTGACGTAAGTTCAAAATGTCCTGGAGATCCTTCTCTTCCAGCGCCTTTGGCGTAAAGCAATTGATCTTCGGCTTCGCGTTCACCGTGTAGCGAAAGTCTCTCGCAGTTCCATCAGCCTGCCAAGGCAGCTTCCACGGTGGCCCCCCCACAAATTCGGGGAAAGAGAAACACTTGAGAGAACCAAGCAAAACACAAAAAGGTGTGAGTGAACCTGCACGGCTTGGGTGAGATCATAGTCGCAGACTTGGACCTCCATGATCCCGGAGTCGCGCGCTGCACCACATACCACCTTCAGAAAAAGACATTGATCGTGGAAAGAAGTATCACTTGAATCTTTTAAGCTGACTGGATCAAACCGAGCCTCAGCCAACGGCAACGCTTTTTTGCCGTCATTGCCAGCACAAACCACCATGTCCGCATCGGTACCCAAGAGCCAGGCAACGCAATCCTTCCCAGAAGACCGAGCAACTCCTGGCACAATCATTGACATCATATGATCTTGCAATATGGGGACAAACCAAGGCGGAAATTTTGAATTATAACAATTACTTGTCGAATTCTGTCCTGCCAATTTCTCCGAAAAGGAGCCCAGGCCAAACCCGAACAATTCACCAGGCGACATCCGGAGATCATTGTCAGAAGTGTTGCACAAAAAGACTCGAAAATCTTTGGTGACATAGATCTTCACATCGCTGTTGCATACGGTTGTCGTGGCTCCCAAGAACCTGACTATAAGAACCGGACTAAAACCCTGGCAAAAAAAATCTGCCAGACCCGCTAGTCTTCTGATGGTAAGGCTTGCTATGATCAAAATAATCATCCACAAATGGGATTGATCAAATTCAAACATGTATGTCAAGTAACTCATGATCAGCTTCAAGAGCTTCCATTGTCATCACGCAATCCTCGGAAAAGACATGGGTCCTGCCGAGTTCCACAGTTTCCCCTGGACCGAAGATTGGACGGCAGCTCGTTCTCGGAGGTGTGGCGGCTGGGTCATTTGACCTGGTGGATCCTGCCCCAGCTCCGATGAGAGAGTCTGAATGCGTCTCGTTCCATGTCCTGACTTTGACCTGAAGATCTTCAAACATGCGGAGGATGGCAGGATCAGCACCCCGGAATCCATCTTCAACGGCTTCAGGGATCCTTAAAATGTGAGTCAAAAAAATGTCTGCACGTGCCGTCCGCACACGTTCTTGCCGTGAAAATGAATGGAAAATCTCACAATTAAACCATTGTTTTCTTGAATGCCCAAGCACTTCAGCTCTGATCCAACAACGGTAAGAATGTCCGGCGTTGGGCGTGGAGTTGCAAAAGGAACTGCAGACCTTCTCTTCGGGCCAGCTTCTGCAGTGTTGTCCCACCATTCCTGATGAAAATGGCAAGCATGGGAGCAAGTTCGTTTGAAGATTTAAAACCATACACTGCAATGTTACACAGATAAGAAGCTTGCATGATCTTGCCAGACATCAAGTTGGGAAGTCGGTGGGTGAATTCATCATCGTTCTCAGAGGGAAGCATTCCCATGTAATGAATGGCTGGGCCGGGCGTGCCATCCAAAGCCTGTTTCTGGAGACACCAGGCAGCCATACCCCATTCTCCAAACCTGAGGGCAACGTCAACTTCACTTAGATGATGCCAAATTTGGGGCGAAAGATACAGTAAGGAGAAAGATAACGAGTGCTCACAGGGACTTGGTGACCTGCCTTGTTGGAAGGAAGTCGATCACCATCGGTGGCTGACCATTGGTCAATCCCAAGCCATCCACCAAGCATTCCAAGATCTGCTTCACACCGGAAACTCCTTTCTGCATCACCTGAGAACAAGTAAACTAGTAGCTGTATCAAACAAACATGGGGCAATGTGACACTTTATTTCCTTGGTCCCTCGACAGCCCAAGCACTCGGTGGGCAGGTGTCAACGGCTTGTCATCTGGATTCTGAAGGTCAGTGACCCGTGCCCTGTCAATGGGGCCAATCAGGCCAAGATATGCTTTCGACTTGGACCAAGCAGTCTTCTGGTGCACGCTGCTTGTTCCAAGCAAACCTCAAATGGAAAAAGCCATGCCGTAGTTTGCAGTTTGGAAACTGGTGTGTTACGCAAAAGAACTTCGAACGACGGTGTTGGGCCAAAGTACACAACTGCGACCTGCGCCGCTTGTCAGCACCGTGAGTCTGATCGGCGAAGTTTAGGCTCAACTCCTGGATTTCCAAAGACCTGGCCGGTTCAATTTAAAGAGCACAAATTAACACTGCTGTAAGCAGTGTACTTTCCACTCGTGGTCTGAACTCAAGGGTCGAGTTACGCAAACAGTTTGTCTTCTAGCTGCCGGCGTTTCTTGACAATGGCGTGCTGGGCCACGTTGCTGTGCACAACAGGGGTCAAAACCAGAAGCGCTGCATTTTCATTGCCATTGGCCAACGAGCTGGCAGCATCGATGGCTTCATCCAGCAAACATCCGCCTCAAGAACAAATCAGAATCATCACTATCAAAATAAGTATGTAAACTAAACTGCATAGAAACAGAATAAAGCAGTAGCTTGTAAACACACACTCTTTGGCAAATACACTCTTGCGCCAGGTACGCGCAGGCCAGCTTGTAGCATCCAAGATCATCAAAGTGATCCTGGGTACTAACCGCGTGGCTGTTTTAGCATATGAAAAGTAAAACAAAGAACAGGAAAACAACCATCACACCTCACTGAAAAATATTTTACTTCAAGTGATCCCCGCATGTAAGACCGTTGTTTTACTTCGAGTGATCCCCGCATGTAGGATACTTCATGGCGTTTCATTCTGCCTTCGCTCTGACCATTATTTCCACGGTCTTGGAGACATACATCTTGACACTTTATCTGACATTCTAGCGAACACACATTACCGCATTCTAAATTCCTACATCCTATGACATCAAGTCTTCTGGTATTTTACTTGACATTTATCTGACTGACATATCTGATGGGGTTATATGGCATTCTATCTGGCATTTTATCTGACATTGACCTGACATATCTGATGGGGTTATATTATCTAACACTAGCATAACATATTCATTTGACCTTCCTTTTGAAGCAAATATTCGAACTTTCCATTTGTTCTTTAAGCTTGCCATTCTTTATTAGATAATCATTTCATGACACACTGTTTGACATTTTCTCATTTTTTTATCACACAATCTTTTCACAGATTTTCTCACTCTTTGTTTGATATTATTCTGAGTTCGGGTCGGGCAAGCCCTGGACAGTCTAGAGACCCTTAATTAGCAATGCAAAATGTAATTGCAAGCAATCATTGCAAGAGTCGGTGGGGTTCCGTCTGCGAAAGAATGCTGGTACTTCAAGATCTCTGCTTGTGCTTGCTGCAAATTGTCGCACACAGTGAAAAGATGATTCGTTCTCATGAAGTCTGCTACTTTGCCTTTCCCTCGCTGAAACCTTTCATGGAGGTATCGGACATCAAAATGCCCTTCTCGGTTGTTGTGATCCTGGAGCTCTGTGGACCAAACATTGAACTTTGCTATGTCTGCCTCCATCTTAGCCAGAGACTGCTTGCTACTCATGTACTGCAGCTGGTCACTCAACCTTAACAATGCACAACTGCAAATGACTACCCGACACGTAACAACACAAAACAAGGGATATGAGCTGAGCAACGCTTGCATTTCCTTCTCACGCGATTCATCCACCTAAGCCCATGTATATGGTCAAAAAAAAATGGTTACGAGTTTCTGCTCAGTGGATGAAGCCAACACAGAGGCAGGCAAGGCCCCGACTGACCGCTGGTACCGAAAGAGCACACTGCGAAGATTTGTAATCATATCTAACTGGAGAGGTGGCACACTCGAAGAAAGAATGTGTTCCAGGTCGGCGTCGCAATGCTTGTGGATAAACCTGGCGGCAGAAACATGTTGCCTTCTGAGCAACCTCTGTTACACCATCGATCACATGAACATGAGTCCGATTACGATCAAGGGACGCGCTATGCAGATTCGAACGTTCCTCTTCCAGATACTGTTCTGGCACTTTTGTCTGCAGAACTTCCAGTGCAGCAACCCAAGCTGCACAAACACGCTGCAAAGTCTCCTTGGCTGAGCGGCTTTGTGGCCGCTGACTGAAATTTATATTTATTGTTTAAAAAACCAATGGCTAAATTAAAAACAAAAATGATAGGAAATTGCTGATGCCAAGTCTGGGGACCAGGTCCTTGGCCGTCCACGTCTTCCGCATTTTGGGATTGGCTTTTTCATAATCCGATGTCAACCTCTGCACTACTAGTCCCACAATTTCGGGAGTGTTCTGAAGCTCGTGCTCCCAAGGACCGAAACTTCCAGTGCCTCCGTTGAAGGAAGTGTTCAGAAACCCTCCAGCCAATGCGTCATGTGTGATGAACTTGCCCATGGAATATTTCCTGAGCAAAAAATAAACCCAGGTGGTCAAACAAATGCAAGGACATACAACTCTGCAAGGAAACCAAACGGCTGATTAGCTACACATCTGGTTTTAAACTAGTCACTGCACAAGCTTGCTCAAGCGCTGGACCGCATCTGCATCAATTTCCCTCAGGAGATTGAAAGCTGCAGTTGACTCCTTCTCCCCTAGGGCATATGCAGATTGCAGGCTGGCTGCATCCTGCCAAACCTGCACATGGCACGAGTATAAAGCTTTTGACCGCGGGCATTGCAATGGAACTTGTCCAATTATTCTTTCGATTCCTAGCCTCCTCGAACTCATCCACTTGATCCAATGCCATCAGACGCATTTGATGACAAAGGTTGAAAGCGTTGGGCTTTCTCCTTGTCGATGTGCTTTGCAGCGTCATGCCTGCAAAGAGACGTGACAAAACCAGCCAATCTTATTTGGCGACATCAGCATATTACCAGCCTCGGTTGTGCACGATCAAGTTCATCACTTGATCACGCCCGGCCACCATCCGTGTTGTGCCGTGAATCACTCCAAGTGACCTGGGCAGAACCAAAATCAGGAACCAATGAAATAAATACTGGGATGTTTTGAGCAAGGTGTTGAGGACCAAACGCACGAACTGCGGGCGACATCACCTCACATGGACACCAAAACAAAATATGTTCTGGCCGGCAGCTATCATGGAAATATGCGCGCCTGGTACAGCTCCGAAACTTCGTAGCAGGCGAGCATCACACACATCGCAGCAAAACTGCGCGTCCATCCTTTCACAAACATGAGTCCACCAGGGTTAACCAAGTTCTGTTGGGCGCACGGTGACACGTCTGCTGCGGTCAGAGATGTCCGCTTGGTCATCATTCCATCTGGTGGCAACCCCACCAGCAATTTTTCGGTACCGCCAAGGTTTGGGTCAGTCTGAAACCTTGGAGGCGCAATAAAACCCGAGCTGGCAAAGTGGAGCTGCAACACCATATAGGCTTCTGACCCTTGAACGACGATCAATTCCGTGAGCATCAGCAACTGGTCCTCGGCAAAAAAAGCTTATATTCATCCCATGGCAACACTTTGGAAGAAATGAACATATGAGTCCCTGGCTGGTTCAACATATCCTTTCAACCCGGCATCTTGTTGATACGCCAGCATCCATGGGCGTAAGTACACCCCCTGAGAGTCCTCCCTGAAGTCGTTATAGCTTGCAAACTGCCTGCAAAGAAGAAACATGCCATGGCACGAGTTAATTAAAGAGGTAAAGGTCAACGAAAATTTTTCAGCCGTTGCAAGGGTGTTTCTAACAGCCTGCCCTCGAGCTCGTCTGGGAATGCAGTGTCCATCCAGGTTAGGAACTCTGCCAACGCCTCCTGGCCAAAAAAATGTGGTTGTTAGCTATTATTTTGTTAATGGTGGCAGGGACACACATTGCCTGGCCTGTGTTGAGAATTTGGCTGCAAAGTACGCATGCATGTCATTATGCGTGCTGGCTTTCGCCTGCCTCGGAAATCAAGAACGAAAGTGGCACCAGGTATCTCCCAAGATGGTCAAAGTATAAACAGGTCCTTGAGTATCAGGCAACCACTCCCGCAAGAGAAAAACCGGCTGGCTTGCATCGGACTTGGGAGACATGTAATCTTCGATTTTTGCAGCTTTTGCTGCTGGCCCGCCCCCTCCCTGAGATTTTCTCCGGGGTCGGGATGATGTAGCCATACCCCCGAGTCTACCACGCAATGCTGCCACTCAATGCTTTGAGCCAGTGACTCTACCCAGCAGGCGAGAACTTATGAACATATTCTCATAAAACCAGCGTCCTGACCAACAAATCAAACAGCAAACCCTGCATCCTTCACAAAAAAAGTTCGCAGTGTGCCCAAAAAAAATCTCTTGGAAAATCTTTCTTACATGTAACCAAATGCCGCAATCTTTTGGGAAGGGGTTTAGGGTCCAGGCTTACTAGTTTAGGGTTTAGGGTTGTTAAGCATGATGTTAACCTGATTTTGCGATGGATAGGGATGTTATCTGTCACAAAATTTTATCGGTGTAACAAAATGCTCGCCATTTTTGCAGGGCTTTAGGGTCAAGGCTTACTAGTTTAGGGTTTGGGATTGTTAAGGTTTAGGGTTTTAGGGTTTAGGGTTTAGGGTTGTTAAGGATGATTTTAACTTGTCTTTGTGATGGATAGGGATGTTTTCTATCACAAAAAAAAACGGTGTAACAAAATGCTCGTCATTTTTTCAGGAGGTTTAGGGTCAAGGCTTACTAGTTTAGGGTTTGGGGTTGTTAAGGTTTAGGGTTTTAGGGTCCAGGGTTTAGGGTTGTTTAGTATGATGTTAACTAACTTGATTTTGTGATGGGTAGGGATGTTTTCTATCACAAATTTTTATCGGTGTAACAAAATGCTCGCCATTTTTCTTCAGGAGGTTTAGGGTCAAGGCCTACTAGCTTAGGGTTGTTAAGTGTGGTTAAGCTTGGATGTTAACTTAAACTTGATTTTGTGATGGATAGGGGCGTTACCCATCACAAAATTGTATGGGTGAAACAAAATGCTCGTTTAGGGAAAGTTTGGATGTTAACTTGATTTTGTGATGGATAGGGGCGCGATCCATCACAAAATGTTATGGGTGTAACAAAATGCTCGCCATTTTTTTCAGGGGGTTTAGGGTCAAGGCCTACTAGTTTAGGGTTTAGGGTTGTTAAGTTTGGATGTTAACTTGTTTTTGTGATGGGTAGGGACGCTATCCATCACAAAATGTTATGGGTGTAACAAAATGCTCGCCATTTTATTTCAGGGGGTTTAGGGTCAAGGCCTACTAGTTTAGGGTTTAGGGTTGTTAAGTTTGGATGTTAACTTGATTTTGTGATGGATAGGGACGCTATCCATCACAAAATGTTATGGGTGTAACAAAATGCTCGCCATTTTATTTCAGGGGGTTTAGGGTCAAGGCCTACTAGTTTAGGGTTTAGGGTTGTTAAGTTTGGATGTTAACTTGATTTTGTGATGGATAGGGACGCTATCCATCACAAAATGTTATGGGTGTAACAAAATGCTCGCCATTTTTTTTCAGGGGGTTTAGGGTCAAGGCCTACTAGTTTAGGGTTTAGGGTTGTTAAGTTTGGATGTTAACTTGATTTTGTGATGGATAGGGACGCTATCCATCACAAAATGTTATGGGTGTAACAAAATGCTCGCCATTCTATTTCAGGGGGTTTAGGGTCAAGGCCTACTAGTTTAGGGTTTAGGGTTGTTAAGTTTGGATGTTAACTTGATTTTGTGATGGATAGGGACGCTATCCATAACAAAATGCAATGCAGGCCGCACCCATCACACATGATCACCTGCCACGACTTCAAGTCATCACAAATTGCAGGCCCCTGCTGGACCTGCGTTTTGTGATAGGTGGGGTCCCGGTCCATCACAAAACAATGTGTGTTGTTTCCTGCTTATGCTTTTCAGATGCCTATAAGATCATTAAAAGGCTAAGGCATGTGAAAAGGATATGTTTTTGTGATGTTCCGGGTCCAAGTCCATCATAAACAGAAAGGCTCTTCCAGCAACATATTTTGTGATGGATTCGTTTTTTTTGGTTTCTGCATCTAAGGTATTTCATGTATTATAATTTTTGGAAATGCTATATTGGAACTACTAACAGAAATTCATTCACTCTCCTGGTAAGCCTCCTCTGCAATTTTGATGGCCTGCAGAAGCGGCACACCACTCAGCCAAATCCGGCCTGCAACAACATACATTTCTTTGTTCCGGGACTGGTTCCGAAACAATGCCAGCATTTTTCCTGGCAACCGCTCCCGTCTAAGCCTCACAAGGTTTTCGGCCTTAGCGCAGAATAAAAATGCTTGGCATACCTTTCAACTCACACGGTTTTAACGTTGTAAACTCAGGCAACAGATTTTTTTCTGTGCTTAACTCATTGATCCAGCCACAGAATACCCTGGTTTTTTTTACTGGATGATGTTGAGAAGTCAGCAGCCTCGTGGCTGTGGCAGGATCACCCATGAAAATATTCAGATATTTGCACAAAAAGAACAAAACGACTCATGATAGTTGATTATCTGTGGTAGGTGCGCCCCAAGAATATAAATCCAAAAACCCAAAAATGTAAGTCGAAAGACTGAAAACCCAAAACCCTGCAATTCAGGAACCGGGTTCAAATCAACTCCCATCGGTCGTCGCGCCAAGCCTGCTGGGCCAACCATGGGGCCAGGCCCGAACAACCTGGGGCCACATGCGACAGAAACACAAACAATCGGCTTATAAGTTCCCAAAACTTTTTCCCTGCTTATTATAGTTCCCCACTGTGTTGGGCTATCATGCCAATGCCTCAACTGAACCAAAACACCAAAAGCGACAGTGTGCCAAGAAACAACCCAACCGCACAAGGTGGTTCCCTAAGAAAATCACCTCGAGCCATCCGCTCTAACTGGTCCGCTGCGCGATCCATGTTGTACGGGAATTCTCCTGGGTCAGCAAGTGGATGTTATGTTGCAATCTCAAGAACGAGAAGCTGGAGTGTACTGCGCCTAATTAATTAATTGTGAACATGTATAGTTATACATAACCGATAGATGGATTACATTAGATTAGATTAGATTAGATTAGATTAAAGATAAGATAAAAGATAAGAAAAGATTAGATCAAGATAAGATAAAAGAAAAGAAAAAAGATAAGATAAAAAATAAGATAAAAAATAAGAAAAGATTGGATTAGATTAGATTAAGATAAGATTAGATTAGATTAGATAGATAAGATTAGATAAGATTAGATTAGATTGGATAAGGTTAGATTAGATTAGATTAGATAAGTTACAGGATCAGATAAGATAAGGTTAGATTGGATAGAAAAGATAAGAAAAGATAAGAAAAGATGAAAGATAAAAGATAAAAGATAAAAGATAAGATTAGATTAGATTAGATAAGATAAAATTACATTAGATTAGATTAGAATAGTTTAGATTAGATAGATAACATAAGATAAGATAAGATAAGATAAGTTAAGATAAAAGATAAAATAAGATAAGATAAAATTAGATCACGTTAGATTAAATTAGTTAAAAGATAAAAGATAAGATAAGAAGAAATTAGATTAGATAGATAAGAAAAGAAAGGATAAGATTAGATAAGATTAGATTAGATTAGATAAGATAAAAGAAACGCTAAAAGATAAGTTAAAAGATAAGATAAAAGATAAGATAAAAGATAAGATAAAAGATAATATAAGATAAGATAAGATAAAAGATCAGATAAAAGATAAGACAAGATAAGATAAAAGATAAGATAAAAGATAAGATCAAAGAAAAAAAAGATAAGATAAAAGATAAGATCAAAGAAAAAATAAAAGATAAGATAAAAGATAAGATAACAGAAAAGATAAAAGATAAGATAAGATAAGATAACAGAAAAGATAAAAGATAAGATAAAAGATAATATAAGATAAGATAAGCTAATAAAAGATCAGATACAAGATAAGATAAGATAAGATTAGGTTAGATTAGATTAGAGTAGATTAGATAAGATAAGGTATGAAAAGTTAAGATCAAAGATAATATAAGATTAGATTAGATTAGATAAGTTAAAATATCAGATAAGATAAGATTAGATTAGATTAAATTAGATAGATAAGATAAGATAAAAGATAAGATAAGATAAGATTAGATTAGATAGATAAGATAAAAGATAAGATAAAAGATAAGATAAGATAAGATTAGATTAGAATAGATTAGACTAGATAAGATTAGACTAGATTAGATAGATAGATAGGTATTTAAATTGAAAAATAGAATGCCTAATACATCAAATGCCACACGAATCGATATTCAGATGTGGTACCAAGGGAAATAAGATGTTTAAAGGGTTGGGTTGTTTGTTTGAAACTGAGAGGTTTCTTCAAGAAACAAAACTCGTTTATTGCTTGGAAACCCCTGTTGTTTCCAATGTGGAAATAACGAACTTAGTTCCGCATCAAAAAATAATGAGCTGAAACATAGCTGCAGCTATCCTCCTTAAGATCAGTTCCATCAAATGCCAAGCATCGCATCTTAGCTGCATATTTCTGCAAATGCTGAGGGTCAGATGTTTTATCATCACTGCGTCGAACTCGATCAGGCCGCATGACTTGGTTGACGCGGCGCGCAAATATCTGTCTGCACTAACAAATTTTTAGCAGCAGGGGTGATCATTGTGAGTCCCACAAGTAAATTCTCCAGATGTGACCCAAAATACAATGACAAATGCTGTTACCTTGCAGGTAACAGTAACATCATCCAGAACACACACACACACACCATTTGCAAAAGTAGCAGATTTCAAACCAACCAAAAGAACAAAGGGTTCCCTATTTTCACCGTTTTGTTATTTAACCAAAAGTCACAAATAATTTTGAGAGAAGGGAGGCCCTGACGAACGTGTTTCTGGTTGAGCCTTCAGCATCAGCTCACCAAAGCCCCAACTAAGGAATCAAATGATCAATGGTCTAAGTCCTAAATTCAAATAAATTCCAGATTCACCACCAACAAGAGGTACCACCCTAGACTGAAGAAAATTTGCATGCTAACATGCTCTAGCATAAGCCCTACATGCCCTCAACCTAATGAGTTCCAAAAAGGGAATATCTGTCACATCTGCTCAGAAAAAACGACAAGGTGCCGTCAGGAACCAGCAAAGACGCATCCGGAACCACTGCGTGCGGCAAGTGCAAAATCTTGGTGCTCTTGTAAGTTTCGTCGCTGCAATACTGCTTCATCCTTGAGTTCTGTCACATTCAAAATGCCAAGAGGTATTTAAAAAGGCGTTTCAAAAAGCATGTAGCTGTGAAGTCGAAAACATAATTTGGTAGTGGGCAAAACGTGGCTGCCAAGTTTCTGGAGGACAACATCATGTGGAGACTGCACTTCCCCGGCACGGTCCCAGAAAGTTGAATCGACAGAGCAGCGGTCATGTCCTGAAACCAATCGCCCCAAACGGCTTGATTTAGCTGGGCTGTCACCGCCCTAAATTAAAGCAAACAAAAATCATATGCTTGTAAATCACCCCTGTCCTCCATCATGCATGCGACTGAACTCAAAGAGATGGGGAGCCCCTGGCCCACCTATTCCAGTCAGCTGGTTGTCTCTCTGCAGAAGATGCAAATGGTTCTTCCTGATGGGTCTCATTTCGGCACATTGCAGAGTTGAAGATTGCAACAAACTGCTTCTTGAAGATTGCAAAGTTCATTGCAGGGGAGTTTAAAAAAAAATGTACTTCTTCAAACCGATGGTCCAGTCTCGCACCTGGTGGATGCGGTTCACCAGCTTTCTTGGCTCTGTTGGCCGGGTCGTGGGAAGTGCCAACCACTGAGAAATTGAATTTTCAAAGTCACTGGTGGTGTGCAACTCGTTCTGGCCCATTACCCAAGCTGCAAGGGAAGAGAACATCTGATCGATGTCCTCATGAGAGTGGCCACTCTCCAATGTTTGGAGAGTGGCCACCCTCACTCGGCCAGCGGAGACAAGTCCACTAAGGAGGCGGCACACAGAGTTATTTTTGAGCTCTCGAGACGAATTGTCTCCACAAAAATGTACGCAAACCTGTGGCATGTAGATCCCCTGTGTCTCTGAAATGATCTTGCACGTGTGGGCTACGATCTCCGTGGTGTAGGAAGAATCTTTGCAAATGTGTGGCTCAGCAATGTGGATGATGCAAGCCACCCCATGTATCAAAGAGGCTGTCACTGTCAAAGAAGGCTTCAGGAATTGACTGAAATCTTTCGCCTGCATTGCCAAAGATTTCGGCAACACGAACTTGGAGTGGTCAACTGTGTCAATTGCCACGCAAACAACTTGCCGACTATCAGATAGCTGCCGCAATCTGCTGAGGCCGCGAAGGTTCCAGTAGGCAACGCGGTCCTCGTACTGGCGAGCAAGGTGTAGTCGAAATCTTTCCAGCTGCTCCTTCTTGGCCATTGGGTTGTCATGGAGCTTGGCTATCAGCAACTTGTATCTCACGCATTGATTGCACTTACTATGTTGGGTCTTCGCACGGATCACCAACATGTCTCTGAAACTCTCTTCCCATACCTGCAGCTGGAGCAAGATTTCACTAAAAAAAACGGCAAGTTCAAACCACTTTAAAAAGGATTCCTCAGCGCCATGAATGAACGGCCGAGATGCACGACAAAAGGTCTTCCGGGAAATTTTAATGTTGGGATTCTCGTGCTGGCATTGTTCATGGTAATCACCCAAAGTGCCCGGCGGCAGAAACTTTACCGTGTCAGGGTAGCCATGTTCTGTTGAATCTTTTTTGAAAGCACTTCGCGGGCGTTTGCCCCTCCGCTTCACCGGCTTGAGACCCACTTTCATCTCCGATTCTTTGGCAGCTTCAGGCATTGGTTCAGCCTGAACATGGTAGCACTGCATCAGAAACTCTGCTACTGCCGCTCTGGCCTTGTTCTTGTGCAGCCACAATCCCTTCCTGGGGACATAGCGGCGATCGTGTGGACAGCATTCAGCCCCTTCCAAAATGGCTTTCCGCAAGCGTTGCAATCGAGATTTAGAAATGCCAACCAAAAGCCTAAAGGCTCTGTGGCACATAGCCTCCCCCAATAAAGTGACGCCGCATCTCTCGTTGAAGCGCTGCTGCTTCAACATAGCGAATACCTACCCCAGGGAGCAACACATGGAATGTCAGAATGTCATATAAAGAGTTCTTTCTTTATCAAAATGTTCCTGGGTTCACTCTTCTGCAGGTAATCTCGTATCGTAGATAAACCTCCCGAAAAGAACCTCCACACCAAGCCTGGGTGTGGAGGTTTTAATTATTGCAACATACATATATCCGACGACAATCATCGATGCGTTGATTCTTTGTATGAAAAGTCCTTAACAGCAACAAAGCCCGGGGTCTCTAAAGTGTAGAAATCTCACCCCTCCAAATCCCCAAAAAGCTGCGTTTTCCTTGGTTTTAGGCAACTTGACAGTTGAAGAGGAATTGTTTCTGGTGCAAACCAAATGGAAAATCAGCAGACCGAAGTTTCCCCATATTTCCCAATGCTTGGAGCAGAAAACAAATTAAAACAACTAAGACACCTCTTTGTCAATGTCCATCTTGTGCATTTCTCGTAGTCGAAGACGGTATTTCACCAACTCCTCAAACCGTGCAGGATCTCGAAAAGCTTTGCGACAAGTCGACATCTTGCAAGCGCAATTGGACTGCACTGCCCGGCGGAGTCCATGTTGTAGACGAATCAGGTCCCCTGGGCCAAACTGTTTTGAAGCCTGACGCTTCTTCGACCGCTGTGGCTTAGGTTCAGCAGCCACAAGCTGTCCACCATGCTGCCGTGGATCCACGGCAGGCTCCACTTGCCCACCACGGGGGAGATCCTCATCTGACAATGTGTCCACAGGCGAAAATGGCATTCCAGCAGCAATTCGGCACTGCACCAAACAGCAGCAAAGGAGCCATGCAAGAACGCACGCAGTCATTTCAAAAAAAACTGATGTTCTTCTTGGATACTCATGAATCCATGAGACCGTTGGAATTCCTTTCAAGATTTGAATGGCGCAAGCCTCCTGCTTAGAAAACAAGATTGAATAGTAATGACTGAACATGCCAACTTTCATATAAAACCGAAACATCTTAAGTCAAGAATTGGATGACATTTCATCAAAACACTCACCTCTGACCCACTCGGGCTTGAAAAAACACCACCCTATACTGAGAAAGCAATGGCTACTTTGTGGCGGTGCGAAAGTTGACAAAATGGATCCCACTGCTTCCTTCCTAACGCTAAAACATTCAGAGAAATGATCAAGGTCTGTTCAAAGCAGAGGATACCAGTAACAACCAAAAACTCTCCAAGAAAGGATGTTGCTGGGACTGCAATCCCAACACAAAATTGCTACCAAGTTGAAAGAATTTCATGCAGGTGGCCGCCAAGCATTGGATTTCTCTTGCCGGTCTGTGATGAAGCTCCATCGTCAAAAACAAGATCTGCATCTCAAAAAAATCCAGGCTGCTCAGTGACTGGACAAGCTAAGTAAATTTCTTGCCATGGGTCAAAGCCGACTTAATCTCACCAATGCTCAGTCCCTTGAGCTGTGCAAAGGAAAAGGTGACATGCGGCTTCCTGATCTCGCATCCTGAATAGTAGATCTTCATACAATCCATCTCGACCTCGGCCAAACGCCGAGAAATCTAGAATAGGTCATGTTACCCCTATGGCTGTAACATGCTGTAAGATCTTCAGCAAAGGACATTTAATTAACATAAACAAGAATTGTTTTCTTCTTTCGCTTGTTACTTGATATGAATGAAGGAGTTACAATTCTCAACTTGGTCAACCCCACATCGACAGCTACGTCCAAGCACCAGCCTGCAAGTTTCATCATCACAGACATCAGCTACTGTCATCAGCATCATCATCAGCTGTAAGGTCTTCAATGAGTACACATGAGAAGACACATAAAATATTCAATCCCGGGTTCGTTGGTGTAGCGCTTGGTGATCTGGGAGCGCAAATCCTTCACAGCACTGGCAACGGAATGCCCTGGGCTGAAAGTGGCTTCAGCCACTATGCGACACGCACTCTTGCCAACTCTGGAGAGGAAAGCCTTCACCATCTTCTTGCCATTGTTTGAAACGGCCTTGACCTTGAGATGCAAGACTGGATCGAGAATGGGCTGCGCCACCAAGAAGAAGCCCTTGTTCTTGCCTGCAGCTGCAGTTGCTTTTGTGATGCAATTATCACAATTTCCTTTGCAATAATTGTAGTATTCTCACAGCATAATCAAATTAAACTACTGTCAATTTCTTACAACCACTCTTCTCACAAAATTTACACCTTTCGTGGAAAGATGCCATTTAAAAAGTGACTGCTCGCGATAATTCACATCAGAAATTTAAGAAGACAAGCAACTCTGCATCAGCACGCCTCTGCGGCCACCACCAGAGCTCACATTGCCAACCTTCTTGAACTTGTAAGCACTCATCTGGCCCAGCGTCACAAAGATCTCTGTGTCCCTGTTGGTGCGGCCATCCGTGCTCAAAATCTCCTCAAAGCGAGAACTTTGCTCGGGCCCTGCCCTGCACCATGCTTCCATGACATTCAAAGGCTGCTCGGGCTTTGAATCAAAAAACGTCGTTGCATCTGGATCGTCATTGAATGATTCCAAGCAAAGCAAAGGATGAGATGCAAGTCGGAGCGGCAAATTGCGTTTGAACTGATACTGAATAGAAGCGTCACGAGGCCGCTGCCGCTGCAATCAACAATCAATTGACGACTAATTTCAACTATTCCGATGAATTTTCACCCTTGAAGGTTTTCACCCCTGCGTCCAACGCTAGAGATACTTTATTTCGAAAGAAACAGTATCACCAGGCACTCAATGACAGCAGCTACAAACATGTCTTGGAAACAGCCTTTGCTCCACATGGAATCTCTCAATTGTGCGCCATGCTACTTATGGCATTGCCGAGCTTTTTTGCGGTACCAGTATGAGTAATACTCCTGGTTTTTACCGCCTCGATGCCTATTGTAGCCCTTATCTCTTCGATGCTTAGCTCGTTGAGACATTTTTGGGGCGGTGCCACTAGTCACTTCATGATTCTCAGCCTTGGTCTGTGAGGAACTAGCGCCAGACCTCTGGGGAAAAAGAAGATGGTGATGGCCATCAGTTGCTCCCAAGCCCGTGTCACACCACGAAGTCGAGGAATCAGAAGTGATTCGACAAAGGCTGAAAGCACAACCATCATTGAAACTCATCTGGTCTGCAGAAGGTTTGGGAACTTTGCTGGCATGCGGCTGCGTAGATCCATCGATCATTGACACACATCCATCTGGAAATCTCTCGGTCTGCCAATGCCAGTAGCCACCATTGAAATCTGCAGGCTGCTTCTGAAGAATCGAGGGGGCGCAGCGCAAAGCAATCCCATAGCTAGCAACTGCCGACATGGCTACCTGCTACAGTACCAGTCTTTTCTTTACCAAAAACATCTACATTCAAAACCGACCAGAATGATGGTAAAGCAGCTGTTGCTCACAGGCCATGCATTCAATGAAGTTTAGGGCGGGTCTCTTGATCAGCGTCGGGAAACTGAAAGGCACCTCATGGAGTAAGCTTCAATGAGTATGAAATTCATCCAGCTGACATTTGATTGCGAAATTGTGTCAAAAAAACGTGGACAGTTGCAGCACGACTAATGACTAATGTGGGAAGACCCACCTACACCTACACACATCATGCATTGAAAAAAACATGCTGTTGGGGTGAACGTGACAGATTTTTTAAACGTGAGCCGAAGATGGGTCTGCCATCAATAGCCGTCAGGGTCTAAAAAAGGAGTGGCTGAACATTCCAAAATTGCAGCCATGTCAGGTGTGAACCTGCCTATCTTCAGGTGCATTTAGTTCAAACTCAGTTCAGTCTGAACTGTGGAAATAAGTGCGCGACCTGTCAGGTCAACAAAAAGCATCTCTAAGTCATCCTTCAGCCTGCTCAGCCAAAGCTGGTGATCCTTGTAGTTCTCCTTGTCCGGGCCAATGAGATGGCTCAAGAGCATTCCAAACACCAATTTCATTTCTCGTTCTTTCACTGCACCAACCTCTGTGCCAGCAAGGGCAAGGATATCACCTGCGCCTTGCCCAGCCATCGGCGCAACCTCACCAAGGGTCAAGTCATCGAAGCTGGCAACTGGGCGTCCCGTCTGCTTGCTCAAACTGGCTAAAGCACAGGCAACAGCTGCAACTTCCCACGCAGCTCGGCACAAAAGGTGCTCATCTGCCCTCAAAGTTTCCAAGGCCCACCTGGCCAACTCTTTGAAACACTCAATGGATTCCGCAGGAATCGCTGGGTCCGCAACCATCGCTTCCGCCAACGAATCCGACATGATTCTTATTCTAAAAAGTTTCAGCCACTGAGTTGCTGCAAGACCGCCCAATGTGAGCAAGAGTCACAAATTTCAAACAAAAAAATAGTCCCAACTTAAAATTTTCACTGGCTAGAAACTGCACTTGCACGATTTGATTTCTGGCAGCGCTTGACCGCATGGTACCCGGTAAAACGCAATTTTCACATTCAAATGTTGGCACTTCAAAAATAAACGTATAAGAATAGACACTAGCATATAATATGTTGACTATATGTAAAATACATGTATCTATACATGCATATGTTTATGCATATGCATGTGTATGTGTGGATGTATCTGTATATTACTTATATTTATATGTGGGAATGTCTCAAATTGAGGTGTCCGTTTTTTCCTTTAAAGGAACCATTTTGGAACCAAAAACGGACACCTCATTTTGAGACATATCCATGTGTGTTTTATCCTTTTCCTCTCGAGCCCGACAGTTTAACCGCTGCATGATTGTCTCACATTGAAACTAACTATGTGCCAAAGAGGCTGCCCCCATGTGAGTGGCTTGAACTATGCCAAGGGCGAGGAGGGAGGAGAAGCTTCTCAGTCACTCGCATTGAACGGCCACACCCGCATTAAGCAAAGCCCAACGACGAGCAACAAAGAAAATAACCCATGCTCATCAGTTTACAGCGCGGCTTGCTATTATTTACACTATGCGCAGGCTGGAGATAATCTTCAATGATGCAATGTTGTGGTTGCAGTACCTGGCCCGCACTCGTAGCCCCGGTTGTGCCCCGAAGCCCTGATTAACTTGGCCAAGCCTTGAATCCGGACGGAAGTCCGCGAGCTAAAGCTCGACTTGTGGTCCGAGGGTACAACGACCAGGACGCTCTTGAAGGGAAGGTTGAGACAACGGCACCAACAACAAGCCGGTTGTCACGATCCATGTTTCTTTCCTTGTCCGCCGTTTTGAAGTGGTGCGGATGGACAGCCGATGTGGCCACAGCCTTCTTACAAGGACTTCCTCAAGAACGACAACTCTGGGTGAAGTTGCCACGCGAGGTGCTGACCATCCTGGGCGCTGATGATTCTACACGCATGCTGCTGCGCAAACCTTGCTATGGGCAGATTGACGCCCCAAGGCGCTGGTTCCTGGAAGCCACACGACGTTTGACTTCAATTGGACTACGACCTCACATCCTGGATCCCTGTGCCTTCTTGATTTGCGAGACTGACTTCCCTGACATCGCTGCCACGGACCCCTCCAAATGCCTTGGCGCTGAGCGCATTGTCGGCATGGTTTGCATACATGTTGATGACATGCTTGGAGGTGGCCTGGAAGAATCGCTGGTGTACCAGCACGTTGTCAAGCAGCTACGCAACATCTTCAACTTCCGTGAGTGGAAGGACCAGGATGAGCTTGAGTACTGGAGCCTCTCTTCAGAAGACCCCTAGTGGTGGATGGAGACTGAACCACTCCGAGTACCTCAAGAAGGTCAAACCAATTGCACTGCATCGTGGCCGAGGTCCCGAGGACTACATGACTCCTGCAGAGACCACGCAACTTCGAGGTCTACTGGGATCACTTCAGTGGCCATCAGCGCAGTCCCAACCACATCTACAATGCTCTACATCTCTTCTGGCTGGACAACTTTCTGCCGGACTTGTGAAGTCCATACAAGATGCCAACCGCCTCTTGAAGTTCGCCAAGCTCAACTCCGATGTCTCTCTGTGCTATGAGCACCTATGTTGCCTTGAAGACCTACGTCTGGTGACTATGGTTGATGCTGCATTTGGCATCAGACGAGATGGCTATCTCAAGGAGGATACCTCATGATGCATGCTGGTTCCCAAAACTACGTTTGATGGAGTTGAAGGGCCTTACCATGTGATTGACTGGCGCTCATCCAAACTGCCAAGGGTGGCCAGATCCAGTCTTGGAGCAGAAGCCCAATCAGCCAGTCAAGCGTGCGACAACATGGACTTCGTCTGTCGCTACTACCAGCACCTCCTGGAGCCCAACGAGCCATTGGCGAACATCCTGAACAAGCAAAGCCCTTTGGAGCCTACGCTCATCACGGATGCCAAAGCGCTGTACGACAGCTATCACCGTGAAAGCCTCAGCAGTGGCCTCACTGACAAGAGGACAGGGCTTGAGATCAAGGTTCTTCGAGAAGGACTTGAAGCTCTTGGTGGCAAGCTCAAATGGATTTCGAGCGAACGGCAGTACGCCGACTCCCTCACCAAGGAGGCAACAAGACAGCTCCTTGCTGATCGTTTGAGGTATGGACGCATCAAGCTGTCCTGGGATCCCAACTACATCGCTGCCAAGAAGAAGAAGCTTGCAGATCGAATTGCAAGCAGAGATGAGTTTTCCAAACCTCTGGAGACTGCCCCAGAAGAGACCGAGCTCAACGAAGCGACTCCGATCGAAACCTTTGCTGAACATCATGAACAAATCATCTGCGAGGCCATCACCTATGACGAGATCTTGGAAGACCACGACATGGCTGTTACAGCCCCAGCAGAGCTGCGTCGTGACCATGACGTGAACATCAACGACCTTGTGCCGATCACGGACACACCGGTTGACCTTGTCCCCTATACGACCAGGAGACACAGTTTGCGGATGGCTGGATGATTTGGTTTCTTCAGGTGTTACTGCGCCTTGCCCTCAAGCTTGTGCTGCTTGCTCTATGGCTGCCACCTGGCGCTGCGGCTCAACCTCTGAGCGATTCCATCTCAACCGAGATGTGCCCCTACCTCGACATCACCCCCGAAGAGAAGTCCTACTTTTGGGACTATGTCTGGGACGCTACGGTGGTCCTAGCGCTGCTGATCTTCTTGGCTGGCACCTACCTTATGGGTTGGATGCATGGGTGGTGGATTGGCCGAAATCATATCTTGAGATTGAGGCATGTCCGAAGCGAACGCTTTGAAGCTCGCCTGGAGGAGAAGATCATTGAGAACATAGCCTTGCAGGACGAGGTGGAGCAGCTTGTGAGGCAGGTGCAACAGCTGAGTGTGCCTGGTGGACCAATTCTGGCCGACCGTGAGGTCAAGCGCTTGCAACAGCAGCTTCGATGCCTAGAAGATAGCTTCTGGCAGAAAGACCAACAGTGTGCCCTCATGCACAGGCACAAGATGGGCTACATACGCCAAATAGGAAGACTGCGTGCACTCTTCGTCGAGGCCCAGGATGTGGTTGGACGTGCACGTGCAGAAGCCCACAATCATGCGCACAACCGATGCACGGTTGGGAGGCCGATTTACCATGCCCCTCGTGGACGCGTCTGGCACTTGGATGACCAGTGCTATCAGCTCTACAGGAGCCAAGTGATAGAGCTGTATGCGTGCGACAACTGCGCGTCATTCAACGTGACGCCCTACATCCACGACATCAGCCAAAGAACTTTGGCCCAGGACATGGACGCCTTCATGGGAAATGGTATCAGTGATGAAGACCCTGAGGTCTTAGCTGAAGCGTCAGCGATCTTGGATGAGGAGGCACGACTACGTGCAGCTGGGTCCTTGAGCAGTGCTGGCGTGTGACGCCATTTTCCAGTGCCAAAGAAGCACAACTTTTATCTCTTTTCCCCTGTGTGAAGTTTGCAGCTGCAACCTGTGAACATGTGACTCTTTTGTTTTCCGCCGCTGTTACCAATCAACAGTGGTGGGCAGCTTAAGCCACTACATGGCAATCGCCTTGCGGCCCCTTTCGAAAAGGTGCTGCAGCGCTTAGGCGCACTTTGCGTTGGGTTTGGACTTCGTGGGCCATAACCTCCAACTTGACATATATATATATATATAAATATATAGTGCGAAAAATTGTCCTTCAGGAGGTTGGAAGTCGCAAAGTCGGAGGCATGCCCCTGTCTGCTTTGCTAGATGTTTCAAACAAAACACATTTTGCGCTGACCACAAACAACTTCCTGGTTTGCTGGTATGTTTCCTGGTTTCCCAACTTCCCTTCTACTAAAGTGAGTAGCCCAACAAAAACAAACTAAGGTCAATAAAGACCACCCCAAACCCGAACGGAAAATTGGGGCATGGATGATTGTTTGGGTTAGCGCATTCCCAGTGATTTTTTGCCCTTCACTCACATGCGAAGGCACCAAAGTGTTGGAAGTGTGTCGACCGACTCTTGCACCTTCCTGCGACGCCAGTCAATCTGTAGATGCATGGATAGACATGCATGTTCAAATCTAGAATATATGCATGTTCATACACGATACATGATCAACATGTATCTATTCGTTTATTAGGTCCCAAATCGTGCATGTTGACCTAGTCTCCCTCATGTTTCTATCCGCAGCTCGGACTGGTGTCCGCAGCACAACTTCAGTCGGGGTTTACCCATCCCAAGTTCCTTCTGTTGGTGCTAAAATGGTTCAAATCTATTTCAATCGCCATGTTTTCCTCAAGACGTCCCCAAGAGCACCCCCAGTTTTGAGGCATTTCATATCGGGGTGGGGGTCAAAAGCTAGGAAATTTGGCTACGAATGGTGGGGGGAACATTGAATCCGTAACATTCCAGAACTACCAGCTGAAACCAGGTATCGGGATTTTGATCTAGCCATATATCCAAAGGCCACATCACCATGGTGGTGTCTCACCATTTTCTACACCACCATTTTGGTTCATATTCTTTGGGTGGGGTCTTACCGTTTAGCATCAATCCCATCCCTTTAATACTAAATACATATGGGACACCAGTTCATGAATCGATGCAATCGTAAACCAACCGCTTCAACAGGAAATATTTCATATTGGAAAGGACTAACAATATGATAACCTAGAGATATAGAGAATCTCCACCATTTGGTTCATTTTTTTGTCTGGTTTCTACAGCATTTACCGCTCTCCCAGCTCCTCCCCAACCGTCAGGAAGGTGCCCTCCAGCGGCCCGTCGGTGATCTGCAGCTCCAGGCGATGACCTCTTCGCAGCTTTGAACGCTGCTCGATGTGGTTAAAACAATCATAAACCATCCCCAAAATCC